CGGGTCAGAACTGCCAAAGCCGAAGCTAGAAGCTTGTCTTCAAATGACATATGCACGGATGTGCAGAACAGCCAAGCATCTCATCTTCGACACCTTCGATGCTGAGGCTTAGGCTGCACTAGTTAGGACGTCCCACGACAGTCTGTGAACTAGTGCTTTCCAGGCAACACTCTTTAGAGTCGAATTTCAATACTGAAGCAGGCATTGGACGACCGTCTCGCAGAGGAGTCAGGAAAAAGACGGAGGCTCCGCTGAAGCTTAGACTTACCCGCTTGATCTTCAATACGGCATATTTGCCTCAGCTTTCGAAACCAAGCAAGAAAGACTCTGCTCTCTGCCAGACAGACTGCACAACTCAGCACAAGCGCAATTCCGAGTGTGCTACCGGCTTCATCCAATTTGTACAGTGAATCGCGTTGAGTGGGTGTCAACAGCTCGGCATCTCCAATCAGCTCTTTCTGTTCAACTTCCTCGACATCGTCCTTGACATCGTCCTCCTCATAAATGTCAAAGCCTCCCGCAGAATTCAGAATGTACAAATGCCAAGCACCAGCCACTCAGAAGAGTCTGGTGCATTATAACGATAACAGAACAACATGTCTGCGTGTACAAGGCTTTCTGATCTCATACTATGCCTCTGTTATAAACACGCTCATCAGCAGGCTCAAGCAGCACAAAAGCCTTCCAAAGCTGCAGCTTTGATCTTGTCGTCATTCAACTCAGGATCGCCGAAGACAACCTGTCTGCACCAACTTACGTCAAATGTCCCTCGAAAGCCAGCAGTAGATCTTGTGTGCGAAGCTTGCATGAGCAAAAGCAACCACTGCATCGGCACGAGCCTCTGTTTCGTGCATTGGTGCACACGACGGCACGACGGCTGGCCGACTCGCAGCACTGGTGAAAAGAGTCTGTGACTTTGGCTGAGCAGAAACGGTGCGGCAGTGCGGTTCCCTACTCCATGCCAGCGTCGAAAACGAAGCACGTGCCCAGCTTATTCTTGCAAACATGCTCATGCACTGCACCGTCCCTGCCCATGTGAAATGTCTGTGTGGTTTCAATGAGTCAGTGTTTCCGAAAAGAGCCAAACTTGTTTAGAAGAATACTCTGTGCTGAAGAAGCTGTTCGGAGAAGGCGCTTTGCAAGCTTGCTTTTTGCCGGACTTGTCCATTGAGGAACTACTCTTTAGCAAACACACGTGCCTGTGTGGAGGAAACTGGACACATTCACACACTCGGACAATCGCGCATCAAAATTTCTTCGCAGGATTGGGCACAAGGCCAACGCACGCAGGACTCCTTGAACGGACCCGCATCTTCCCCACCTGAACGTCCGGTCGCTTCTAACCAAGGAAGGCAGAGAATTATTGAAGGTAGTTTACAAGAGATGTCATGGGCAGTTTACGCACATCTCTGCGCTTACATACTTGCAGGAGCTTTAAGCAATAAAGCAGGCCCGCCCTGATCAATCAGACCGCAAACGCTCGAACGTTGCGAAAGGACTGCTCTGCTTGCCCTGCTGACGCTTGAAAACGTGCAGCGCTTTCGTTTTCTGCATCTGCGGGCTCACATTGGGAATTCGCTCTCATGACCATCTGTCAGCATGCAGTTTTTAATGCTTGACGATGCATGGCTGGCTTTGCTCTGCTCCGCCATTTGACGTCTCGCCGCCCCATGCGAAGGTGTGTGCAGTTTATCCTCTGTCTCGTATGCTGGGTGGGCTCCCCACGAGTCCGAGTTGGCTCGGCATGCTACGACCCACAAAGCCTCCCCAAACCGGTTCGTGTTGAATCTGCATGATGTGTGCGACAAGACTTGTTCCGTGGAAGGAGCATTAAGGAGGTTTTCCAACTGAGAACGAGGGCATCACGTGGAATCGACGTAACGAACAACTCCGACAGAACATCAATGCAGGCATGGCAGTTTCGGTAATCGATCTTGCAAATGACTACCTAGTGCCATTACAGGGTAGACCCTGACAATGAAGGCACACCCAAAAAAATTCACCTCATGAATCCACAATGAGGACCACACTGTGGTGGAAGCACATTGCCGATTAGAAGACACACAATACTGTGACAAAAGCACGGCTTCGCAGCGCACATGCGTGCGGAACTATAATGACAACGCGATTCGTGGCCGCGAAAATACCACGACCACCAACAATACTACCGCTACGACGACGACTACTACTACTACTATTATTACGACGACGACGACGACGACGAGGACATCTGCGGTCTACGAACTACAAATTACTTGGATCGACATCAGTTTGCTGCCGATCCACTAGCCAAAAAAGGCGTCTCATACAACCATTTACAACAAATTCTGGCCGAGTCTGCGAGACTCAAGCTTGATGTGGAAGACGACTATAAGGTCGTGCATTAGTGTAACACATCTGCTCATGCTCTCATGCAAAAAAACAGTGATGACCGCATGTAAGTCTACGGCAAATTGCAGATAGCGACGACCGAGCAATGTCAAGCTGCAGTACTTAAACCTTCAAAATTTGGGTTCCGCAAAAGAAAAGCCAACTAGAGGCACACCAGCTGTTGCAGGTACGTATTTACCTGGTCGATTCAAGCGGAGCTTCTTCAATGGCGACGGCAATTTGAACGACCGCCATCGCCCCCTGCAATTGTGAATATCAGAAAACGTGAATTCAATCGAACGAAATAAGACGACATGACAGGTGCAAAGTTCTTTCGCATGTATAGCAGAATTACACAAACAGGCCCCCGAAGGGGCCAGAGAGAGCTGCAACGCAGGTGCAAAAGGCGTCCGAACTTTGGCGAAGTACCAAGACGCAATGAAACAGCAACTGCATTGAGCACACATCCTTACACCTTCTCGCAGCCCGGGAAGGTACAATGTAACATGCAAAGCTTGTTGCCACTTCTTGCCGAACTAGTGGAAAAGGACCGCCTGTCGGCTCATGTAGAAAGCAACTCGTGTAATGAATCCCAAACCTTCTTCTGTAATGTTGATTTTGGCATCGAAAAACTGTGTATGACTTGCTTCTGTTTGTGGACGCATATTGATATCCAGCCGGATGTATTGAAATGGCCGGACCAGGCAAACCCCGGGCAAAGATGAGACTTCTTATTTCCTCCGGAACTTTGCATTATTCAAAGATCAACTTGTGTCATATGAACTCCAATCACATATACCCCAAATGATAGATGCGGAATCGAATATGTTAAAACATATCAAAAATGGGCGCAAACGAGAGTTCGGTCTTTTACTCCTTCCGGCAATGCCGAAGGGGGAAGTCGTGTGGATCCCCGCTCCCATGCGATGGCAAACACGAAGGATCACCAACGAGTACCCGGGAGGGAGGGAGAGAGGGAGGGAGAAAACTACAAGCCCTTTGGCCGGGGAGAAGCTACCCACCCTTCCCATCCCTGTTTGCGGCGGCGCGCGAAATGATGATCACCATTCTTCCGACAAACTTGTCGTTGTCAGTTTAAAACCCCTGTTTCAAAAGAAGAATAAAGCAAAGGCGTTTTGAAAACTTCTCAAAGAATTTTCAAAACTTTCCTGGGGGCATAAAGCTATCGGAGGCAAGCCTCGTGAATCCTTGCATCATTCAAAGATCAACTTGTGTCATATGAACTCCATTCACATATACCCCAAATGATATATGGGGAATCGAAGATGTTAAAACATATCAAAAATGTGCGCAAACGAGAGTTCGGTCTTTTACTCCTTCCGGCAACGCCGAAGGGGGAAGTCGTGTGGATCCCCGCTCCTATGCGATGGCGAACACGAAGGATCACCAACGAGTACCCCATTCAAGAAAGATGGAGTTACTGCTGTGGGAACACCGCTCAGACCTTCCGCCTTCTTTGTACCGACAACCTCCTCTTCACACGCGACGCGAAGAAGGCGAGAACCTTCGGGAACAGGGCCAAGAGATATCTTAAGATTGCCCTTGTTATCAAGCGGGAGAAGCCACGGCAAGTCATGCACAGTTGCTTGACACTTGCACTCGCGATTTGGGGCTGGTACTTGGAAAATTTCGGCTGCTTTCCGGCCGCGACCACTGCTGCATGGCTAGAGCACTGCACACGGCACGCATGTTCCAACATGATGCCCGCTTGTCCCACTGCCAAGTGAAGCAATCCGGCAAACAATCACAAACTTGGAGCTGTAAGTCGACTCAAGCGGCAGGGCACCTGGTGCATGTGGGCCTGTCTTGCCCGCACAGTGGGGCTCGGGCAGGCCACCCAAGGTAGGCTGATTGCTGCGAAGTTGCATTTTTACAGGGCTCGCATCCCGGACAGAAACGAACATCGCGAGTGTCGGGCTGCACAGCACAGCGATCCTGCAGCACCGACCGGGCTGGATGCAAGATGCTGTAGCTGGCGCCAGGACTTTGCAATTTTTTGTTTCCGTAGAATTTTTTATTTTTCGCAATTTTTTCGCTAAATTTTTTGTTTCCACAGATTTTTTCGCAAAATTCTTTATTTCCGCATTTTACATTTACTTTCTTCGCAAAATTTTTTATTTCCGCAGATATTCTTTCGCACATTTTTTATTTGAGCAGATTCTTTATTTGTTTCGCAAACCTCTTTTTGCAGCAGATTTTTCATTTCAGCAGATTTTTTCGCAAATTTTTTTATTGCAGCAGATTGTTTATTTCAGCATAGTTTTCTCTTTTTTTCGCAAATCTTTTTTTCAGCAGATTTCTTTATTTCAGCAGATTTTTGTATTTTGTTCGCACATTATTTTTCAGCAGATTTTTTCATTTCAGCAGATTTTTTTTCAGCAGATTTTTTCGCAAACCTCGTTTTTCAGCAGATTTTTTCATTTCAGCAGATTTTTTTCGGAAACTTTTTTGTTTCAGCAGATTGTTCATTTCAGCATATTTTGTATGTTTTTCGCAAATCTTTTTTCAACAGATTTTTTTATTTCAGCAGATTTTTGTATTTTTTTCGCACATCTTTTTTCTCAGCAGATTTTTTCATGTCAGCAGATTTTTTTATTTCAGCAGATTTT